AGGGAAAGATCTGAACAATAGTCACCCATGAGAATTGGACACTTTTACTTCAAGGAACAACTCAAAATAGATTTATATGCAATCACTAAATCAATATTTATTTTTACTCATTATCATATATTAATCATACTACTTGTACAAATTCCCACCACGTAAATGCAGTTTAAACAACTATACCTTCTCAACATTCAAACACTGCAAGCAACCTAAAAAAAAAAAAAAAAAAGAAGAAGAAATCAATAGCAGGCAATGATAGATTCTTCTAATACCAAGATTAAACTATAAATATTTCCAGGTGCTTTTTCCCTCTCTCATTACAAGGAAATTTTCAAACCATTTCTAAATGATACTACATAATTAAGAGTAAACAGAAGTAATATGCTTTATAAACATATAAAAGTCTATGCTAAATGTTGCTTGAATTAACGTGGGCTTTAAAAAAATAAATTTGGAGAAAACACTGTTTATGTAGCAATAAAGTAAGTTTTTTCTATAATTATAAGGTCACTGAAGGAAGAAAATTAAGTAACCAATCTTGGAGAAAACTTTCCACGTCTTTATTCTCCTGTGTTGTCTCTCCAATGTGTCTCTCTGGTGTAGCCTCCTTCCCATGCCAAGGAGGAAAAATTAGGAATTTTAAATAGACATGTTATTAATTTTAGGAGTGAGATTTATGTAGAAACAGCTATTACAGCAGAACTGTCCACTGCTGTGATTAATAGTGCCTGTTACTACATGCATGTCCAAGAAGACACGCAGGATGATGGACCAATGGTAGGCAACTGCTCTGCTGACTGTGTTTTGCATTTAGCTGAGCAGACTCAGTTCCTTCAGCTGCAGTTAAAACTATTACTTTATCATAAATCACTAAGAAACAACACAAAAAATAATAGTAGGGAAACAAATCCTTTTACCATGTTTCTTATTTTTTTCCCTTTTTTATTTTATTTTAGTACCTACTGCAAAGTAAAATCACACAAAATGACGATTTAATGCACAATTGCTTACATTCTAGAACAGCACTATCTAATAGAACGATCTGTGATGATGAAAATATTCTATCTCCTTACTGTCCAATATGGTAGCCTCTAGGGAGCAGCTAACATGTGATTAGTGTGACTGAGGAACTGATTTTAAATTACTACTAGTGGCTACTGTACCAAAATAAGGTTAGAAAAAGTACATAGATTCTGTACATAAAAATTCTAAAAGTAACTATTCAGAAATACCAATATTCATGTGATAAAATGTCTTCTAAAAATAATGTCTACTAGGCCTGCATATGTCTTCATGAAAAAAGACTGATCACCAACAAAGAAGCATCATTTGCACAAGCGTGTTATTCGCTGTTCAAATACAAAGTTCATTATGAAGGATTACAACAGCACTTTAATCTCAGAACTACCTCTTTCACGGATAAAAGAATGACTAACGCAACTACCAACAAACGGTGAGATACTTGCTAGCCCAGAAGTATCAGAATATGTCTACTGATAAGCTGGACTTCATTAATATTAAAATTTCTCCTCTGTGAAAGATAAGGTCAAGAGAGTGAGAAGATAAGCAACAGACTGGGAGAAATATTTGCAAAAGACATATTTGATAAAAGGACTGTTATCCAAGATACGTAAGGAAGGAACTCTTAAAACTCAACAGGGCTTCCCTGGTGGCGCAGTGGTTGAGAGTCCGCCGGCCGATGCAGGGGACACGGGTTCGTGCCCGAGTCCAGGAAGATCCCACATGCCACGGAGCGGCTGGGCCCGTGAGCCATGGCCACTGAGCCTGTGCTTCCAGAGCCTGTGCAGCCTGTGCTCCGCAACAGGAGAGGCCACAACAGCGAGAGGCCCGCATACCGCAAAAAAAACCAACAAAAAACACAAAAAACCTCAACAATAAGGAAACAAGCAACCTGACTTAAAAAGGGGCCAAAGACCTTAATAGACACCTTACCAAAGAAAATACAGATGGCAAATAAACATAAGAGAAGATGTTCCATATCATATGTCATTAGGAAAATGCAAATTAAAACAATAATGAGAAACCACTACACATCTATTAAAATGGCCAAAATCCACTGACAACACCAAATACTGGATGTGGAACAACAGGAACTTTCATACATTGCTGGTGGGGATGCAAAACAGTCTTTGGAAGACAAAGTGGCGGTTTCTTACAAAACTAAACATACTCTCACCATACAATCCAGCAATTGTACTCCTTGGTATTTACACAAAGGAGATGAAAACAGATGTCTGCACAAAAACCTACACAGGAACGTTTATAACAGCTTTATTTACAATTGCCAAAACTTGGGAGTAACCAAGTACACCACCTTAGGCTAAGTGAATAAATAAACTGTGGTTCACCTATATAATGGAATATTATTCAACACTAAAAAGAAATAAGCTATCAAGCCATGAAAAGGCAGGGAGGAAATTAAAATGTATATTTATTAAATGAAAGAAGCTTATCTGAAAAGGCTACATACTGTATGATTCCAATTACATAACCTTCTGGCAAAGGCAAATCTCTGTGGAGATTTAGGCCATCTCTAAAGAGATTGGTGGCTGCCAAGGGCTGCAAGGAAGGGAGGGATGAACACGTGGAGGCACAGAGAATTTTTAGGGTAGTGAAACTGTTCTGTAAGATGTTACAGTGGTGGATACATGTCATTATACATTTACCCAAACCCACAGACTATACAACACCAAGAATGAACCCTGTAAAGTATAGACTTCGGGAGATAACGATGTGGCAACATTCACTGATCAAAACAAATGTACCTGTGGTGCAAGATGTTGATAGCAGAGGGAGGTATGCATGTGCAGGGAGGGAGGATATGGAAACTCTATGTATTTTCTGCTCAATTTTGCTGTGAACTTAGAACTGCTCTAAAATGTAAAGTTTACTAGTTTAAGAAAAAATTTTAAAGCAACCTGAAAAAAAATAATGAAAAGAAAACAAACTAGATGATAAAATAAAAAGGACGTGGATGTATTAAACGCACTATAAACAAAATTAAATGAAAAATGATATCCTAGAAAAACAGCCTGCAATATACATAATAGACCTTTAACTTCTATAAGCATTTTCAAGAAGCCATTATTTAGGGCAGGAGAAGACTGTTACTAATTGCAAACATTTAGAGATATGTTAGATTCCCAACAATTGGAGACTGATTAAATAAACTGTCGTTCATGCATACAATGCAGCCCCGAAACAACCCTGTAAAAGAACATTTAATGGCATGGAAAGATGTTCAAGATTAGGTTACTAAACATGCTTATAGCATGTAGCACTCTGTAAAAGATATATACATATATATACATAGGAATGCTAAACACCAAAGGGCAGTGTTTTTTTCTGGATAGTATGAATTATAAGGGATTTTAATTTAACTTTTTCTACGTTGGACACATGTTACTCTTCTCTTAATAAAAATAATGATAAGTATTTTTTAAAAATAATATGTGATGAAAAAAGATCTCATTCACAGTAACAATAAAGTACATAAAATACCTTTAACATTAATTTAAAAGGATATATATATTTTGGCTATACTAAGTATGGCAAGCCCTTCCCTGAAGATATACATGGAAATAATACTAAGTGTATAGAAATACTATATTATTTTAATGGAATACGATATTCTAAAAAAGCCAATCCTTCCCATATTGTAAATGGACTGAATAAATTCCTCTCAAAATTCCACTGGATGGCTTTGTTTTGTTTGGAATTTGACCAAACTATAGTCATGTTTCTTGGTTAGAACAGGCAAGAAGAGAGAATACACTTTTGAAAAAGAAACAGTAATGACTTGGGACAGAAAGGTAAATATTAAAATACATTTTGTAATTAAAACACTATGTATATGTGTGGTGCATCTATACAATGGAATACTAGTCAGCCATAAAAAAGAATGAAATGGTGCCATTTGCAGAAACACGGATGCAACTAGAGATCATCACA